CTCATTTTCAGATTTGTTGCAGGGTGAGGAGTCCGACACTAATGGAGGTTCGAAATCCTTATCCACTAAATCACAACCAGCGCTTAGCGCCCCCACTTCGAACCTCAAAATGTGATTATAAAGAATCACGTGAGTGTAACTTGATTTGTTTCATGCATCGGAATAATTCATGCTATTAAAGCAAACCCAGTGACAGTACTGGAAGAAGCAAGGTACGACTGATGGGCACTGGGAGCATTTTGATCATAGAGCGGATAAGCACTGGTACATGGTGGATATGCGTCGAAGGCTGGCGACGATCGGTGATATCCTGAAGAAAGCAGCCAATCGCATTTTAATGCCTCCATTATACCATTTTGTATTGCTTTAGTTAGCCGGAACTTTTGCGAAGGAAGAAGCTGGGGGAAAAGTAGAGGCTGGGGGAGGGCGGGGGAAGGGGGAAGTGGGGAGAGAAAGATTGTTAGGTAAATATTTTTTAAATCAAATTTTAAGGGCCAAAACTACAGCAACATGCACTTATTTTTGAAATACTAATTTTCAATGTTGATGAGCTTGAAATGGTGGCAAGTGCGCTATCCTTAGGTCAAAGTTCCGCCAGCCGATCTTGTCAAGTGACCAATCCCTCTTCTATGATTTCTCGATTTGTTTCCTTAATAAATGAGTACTGGCCTTTGTTAGAAACTACTCTGTATATCTGCTGAAAATTTCGAGCCCACTTTCTGGATTCATCGGTCACCTGTTGCCTACCGGAATATGCACCAGCAGCGGCTGCTTTATAAAAATAAGTGTCTAAATTTTTCAGTGTCGGTGCAAATTGTCCTCTGCTTCATCGCTTTGCAACGTGCTTTCAGCCCGCAAGTGGAGATTTTTTTAGGAGCAGACCTCTTCACTGTTTCCGAAGTTGTTAATTGATGATTGTGATCCTATCATGATAATCTGCATGAACCTCCTCCTTCGTTTCATGTGTGTATTATTTTGCATCGCTCGACGCTGAGGTAATAAGCACAAGGGATGTAAGAGATTCGTAAAAGATTTGTTGGGATCGCTTTTGTGCATCTACATTTATGTGTCAGTTTCTACGCGTCAATTTCTACGCTACATCTGTGCGTCGATTTCGCGATAAAATCTACGCCATACGGGAGAACATACTCTTGAAAATGGATCCCACACTGCCTAAGTTTCTTCCTCAAGCTAAGCATCCAAGTGCTGATAACAGTCAGTGCTTAATTGATGATAATAACAAAGCATTACCTCCAAGCAGCGGTAAATGATCTGTCCAGGAAGGCGGTGAATAGTTGTAACAGCCTCCTGCCCCTGAATTAGTATCAGAGGCATTCTGCTTGAACAGATCGCTTCTGAAATTCCGGAAAAATATGGGGCACAACTTAGCAGGATTTTTAAAAGTGGTGCCGACGGTTATATTAAAACGTTAAATAAAAAATAGCTTCTGACAATAAAAATTTAGCTTCTGCTGGCTTTTGATTATATTTCGTAAATTTTTCCTTCAAAAAACCTGCTAAAAAGCGTTTGATTCGACGTGTTAAAAAGCGTTTGATTTGTTGGGCAATTTTACGAAGTTCTCTAAAACGAAACAAAAAACATCCTCTCTGGCAAGGATTGACTGCAAATATATGGTTTAGCCGCATCCGTCCACTCTGATTATCGTTTTGTGAGAACAGAAACTGATCTAATTTCCAGAAAAAATACGAAATCACAAATCACTCCCTTGCCACGAAA